TCCATCCGGAACCGGTGCGAGAGAGAAAAAAAAAAAAAATAAGGAAACCCCAAAATAGTGTGGGTAATTATCTAGGCCCCTACATTAACCCTTGCCGAGCTGCGACAAAGACCTGCACCGCCGGGAGGACACGATCCGGACGGATGCAACGCACGATGATCAACTTCCTGGGAAAAGTGAGGACTGGAGAGGGCTGCAAATAGAAGGCATCAGTAACAAAAGCGATACATCATGAAAACCATCCTCACGAACCCATTATAAGACGGAGTACAGCGAATACCTGCGAAAGAGTCATCCTCAATCGATGGTCCTACTTGTCAGTGTTCGTCATATCGAGTGTACAGTCCAGATATACGGGGCTTCGGAATCCTAAACCCTTAAACTCAAAACCCCAACATGTTCGGGTTTAGGCTTTAGGGCTCCGTCTGGATATTGGCGTGTATACCTAGAGGGTTCATGTACCTTCAGGGTTCCTTTAAGGGTACCATAAGGGTTTCGGGTGTGGGGCTTAAGCTTTAAAATTTAGAACGTAGAGTCCATGTACACCAAAAAAAGATACTTGGGCCTTAAAGTAGGCCCTATATAGGCCTTTGGGGGCCAAAATCTACACTATTCGGGGAACGCCGGTAATGCATAGAGAGATTAGGTTTAAAGCTTAGGGTTTAGGGCAAGGGGCTAGTTCTTCCCCTAAACCCTAAACCCTAAACTTAAACCCTAAACCCTATTTTCCTGTGACCTGCGAGACACCGAAGCAGGCCGAAGAAAGCCGCTTAGGCTGGAGTCAATGGCTACGGTATGAATATAATCCTTAAGGGTCCATGTACCCAAACAGTATATACTTTGGCCACAAAGTGCCAATACAGGGGGCCCACTTTAAGGCCAAAGTATCTAGTATTTGGGTACATGGACCTTCAGAAAATTATCTAAAACTTTGGCGAACCCCTGAACATCAGCCACAGGCCCGAACACCCTGAAGCCGTAGCTCAACCCTAAACCTTGGCCCTAAACCCTGAATGCCAAAAACCCTCTCAACTCAACAACCCTAAACCCTAAACCCTGAACCCTAAACCCATGAAGCTCTTACAAGCGCCTGTAAGGTAAGCTTTCTACTCTAGGCAAGCAAGGCCTGAGCTCGAGGGTCCAAGCGCCCGAACAAATGCTTTTTGAAAGACTTCCAAGCCTTAAATATGGCTTTATTTGGGGTTTGAGGGTTTGAGGGTTTAGGGTTTAGGGGTTCAGGGTCTAGGGTTTCATGTTTTGCTTTTTACTTTCTCTCTGCTGAGGGTCAGCTCCAGCCCTGTGGGCCAAGCACTCAAAACGAACAAAGACCTGAGGCCAAAATACCCCTGAGGGTTTCATGATTAGTGTTTAGGGTTTAGGGTTTAGGGTTTAGGGGTTCAGGGTCCAGGGTTTAGGGTTTAGGGTTTAGGGGTTGGGGTTTAGGGTTTGGGGTGTGGGGTGTGGGGTGCAGGGGTCATAGCAGTTTTGTGCTGCGAAGCGCCTACTCTCAGTATGAAGGCCCCTGTACTACTGGGGTTCGGGGTCTTGGGTTTTAAGGTTCAGGATTAGGGTCGTCTCTCTGAAGAGAGACCTCGTTCAAAAGGATTAGGGTCGTAGGGTTGAATCTAAGGGCTTTAGGAGGGACCCTTAACCTGGCTCTATAAGCGGTATATAAGGACTGTACAATGGTTATTTAAGGTAATGGGATTAAGGGTCCCTATTAGGGGTCCCTCCTAAAGTCCTTAGAAGCACTGGCTGAGGATGTTGGGCTTGGAGTTGTTGCAGCTCCTGTGCCGTTCGCCGGTGTCACTGCTGGCACTACTACTCCTGCTCCTGCTTCTGCTAGTGGTCGTAATGCTACTCCCGGCAGTATGCCGCTACTACTTGTAATAGTGTTAGTACGAATATCGGCTACCGCTACGGCGACGACGACAAAGGCAGCTGCGGCTGCAACTGTTGATGGTACCCCTGCAAAGATTACGTGGTTACGGCAATGGCTAGTTTAATAATGGGTTCGACTATATTAGAATTATACTGAGGGCCCGCGAAAAATCGTATTGGTAATTATACAGGCCCCAATATTACCGGCACCGCTTCTGGTGCTGCTGCAGCTCGATGTTACGTTAGTTTTCAGCTGCAACCGGGACGACAGAGTTCAGCTGTCCCGGACCCGCCAGCAACAAACGGCTGAATATTACGTACTCCGGGGTCGAATGAGACGTCAGGGTTTGCTATTCCTAGTCCTGCCGTATGTGTGTGTGTGAGAGAGAGAGAGAGAGAGAGACTGTGCACGTGTTCCGTTCCGGTTTCTTTGTGCAATCTTTTTTTTTGCCCAGCTCGAGCCTTCAAGCCCCAACTAGACGATCAGGTCGGGGTGCTCCGTGCGACCGGCGTTCTTCCCGATGAGCTGTGGACCGCGTTTCTGTAAAGTTGGCCGTAAGTTCTGAACCTCAGCGTGGCTGGGAGAGCAATGTCAGTGTCAGTCTCAGTCTCAGTCTCAGTTAGATGACCATTCGTCTCAGCCACAACTCTAAAGGCTAGCTCATACATTCTTCAACCTAAACCATCAGCCGGTTAGCCCGCTGCAGGACTGTCATCTTCGGCTATGCAACCTTCTACATCTTTCTTCTCGTTTGGCAGAGCCTTGCTGAGCCAGTGCCTTTTTTGTGCCGTTCGAGTCTGTCGCTGTAGCGTGCATGGCCGGATTGATTGTGGTATCCTGACTCTTTCGCTGCTCTCTCTCTCTCTCTCGCTCTGCCTTTGGGTCTCTGTCTCTGTCTCTATCTATCTATCTATCTATCTATTTATCTATCTATCTATCTATCTCTCTATCTCTCTCTCTCTCTCTCTCTCTCTCTCTCTGTCTCTCTGCGCTCTTCCGTTCAGGCACACGCATGCGATTGCATTATTGTATGCATGCGAACCTCCGCCTTGCCTCTGTGTGTGTATATAGATACACATGCTGCCCTGCTGAAGCGTGCATAAGGACGCCGAGCACACGCTTGACATGTGTTTCGAGAAGACATACAAAGCCTCACTGCTATCTCAGCTTCGAACATTACTTGCACGTGCTATTGTTTCTGCTAGAATTAAAAGCAAGCTGCCCCGCGAAGTCGCAGGACCTGCAAACATTGTTTTTCTAGTTTTTTGGGACATTACAGCACTTTTGCAAAACAAGGTTGTTTCTTTGGGAAAGTACAGCGTTTTGAAAACAAACTGCGCGTATCTGCTGTTTTTTCCTTGGGTTTCGCAGTTTCGCATTTTCAGTTAAAGCTTGCGAAGGCTTCCCTACTCCCTATACCCTAACTTTCCCTAGCAGACAAGCTGCGCAAACAAAAGATCCAGGGGGGGCACCATATATGTATATATATATATACATATGTATATGAATGAACGAGTATATATGTATATATGCACGTTTTCATATATACATGCACACGTATGCGTGTAGACTGTAGCTGTATTTGTGAGTAGTTTGTTCGTGTTCGTGTCCATGTTTGTGTATGTGTATGTATATGCTATGTAGGTATGTGGGTATGTAGGTATGTAGGTATGTAGGTAGGTACGTGTGTAGTTATGTACGTATGTATGTATCTATCTATCTATCTATCTATCTATCTATCTATCTATGTATGTATGTATGTATGTATGTATGTATGTATGTATGTATGTATGTATGTATGTTGGCTTGTATATATCTCGCAGACACATGCCCTCCCTCACCCGACGCGCTTGCACTAATTTTCTTACTTATTGGTACATACACCAACCTAGGTGTAGTTATGTTAGACGAACAACACGCTGCCGTGAAGGACTAAAATCTACAACTGGGCACGATCCAAACTGGAACCACTAGATCACTGCGATTAGACATTCGAATTCACGTTAGGGTGTATGATACTATAGTTGGTCTAGTCGCATGAGATGCCAACCTAAATCTAAACTCGCATGACGAGTGGCGCCAGACAGCATGCATGTCCGTGGTCATGTTTTCCGCAAAAGCAAAGAAGCCAACCATATGTCAGTGGGCAAGCTATTGACAAGGTGGGAGGCTTGGGTTGAGACATTACTCCGTAATTCGGAAGTCGGTCGTGTTGGGGTAAAAGGCAACATGAAGCTTGTGAGAGACAGAAGCATAGGCCTTTTGAGTCACTGTGGCTTTGCCGGCACAGCTGCGTCGCACAACCTGTACAACCGTCCAGCTGATGTACGTTGGTATGCGTTTTTCAGACTCGTGCAAGCAATAGCATGCCATATGCGAAAACACATGGGTGGTTCTCTAAGTTAGTGTCCCTTTGGGGGTCCTTTTGATAAGGGTGCCGCACTGTTTTGGGGACCCCAAAAGGGACCCTAATTTAGAAAACTACCCATATCAAAGCGACCCGAACAGTGCTCGTCCCTGAGAAGTATAGGACGCCTACACCTATCAGGAAGATTCGGGACTTTGTCCAACGACCACAGATCGTTTTTCTGGACAAGCTTTGCATCGATCAGCACGACGAGAGGCTCGCGGGCTCCCTTCTGTCCCTAAAGCTTAGGAGTTTAGGGTCTCTGGGTTGAGGGGTATCGGGTTTAGGGCCTCGGGACTTATCTGTAAGGTTTTTGGGTTTAGGGCTGAGGAATGTAGATTTTATGGTCAATGTAGGACTTAGGCTTAGGGCTTAGGGTGCTAGCTTTAGGGATCGGAGCTTTCGGGTTGAGTGTCCCGGCCGTAGAGGCCCGGCTGCAAAAGGGTTGACTGTGGGCTTCAGGGGTTTTCTATTCCCCCAACCGTGTAGCAGGCACTATGGGGTTCTGACATGCAGAGTAAAGAGAATTAGCTAGTTGGCCACAAACTTCGCTGAGACGCGGCTCCTGCTGTGGTGCGTTGCCTGCTTTGCGGGTAGAAGTGTCGTGGTCGTCCTGGTCGTAGTGATCGTCGTGGTGGTCCTGGTCGTCCTGATGGTCGTGGTCGTGATGCTCGTCGTGTCGTGGTGATCTATGATTGCTTTGGCATCTATGCTGGAATGATACTACACATGGAGTGGTTGAGTAGTGAGTCTGATCATCGCTAGCAGTCACCACAGCTGCTGCTATGGCGGTTTGCGGAAGTAACCCCGAATCGTAGACCCCGCGAAAACCCCCTTTAAACCTCGCCTGGCTTGTCCCAGTTGTGAGAGCAGAAGTTCCGAAAACCTAATCCAACCAGAATTCCGACGGAAACAGAATTTCCCGCACCCCTAAACGGCCCTAAACTTCAGTTAAAGGATTTCGGCTCTTGTGGAATTCAGGGTTTTTTGACGGGTTTTGGGGTTCGGAGCAGCTGAGAGCTCCGGGTTAAGGGTGTAGGATTTCGGGGTTTAGGGTATAGAGGTTATAGACCAGGTTTGTACAGAGCATGATCTGAAGTCACTGCTGTGGGCTATCAGTCCGGTCGAGATCTGACAAGGTTGTTGCAAAAGGGTATAGAGGTTCAGAAAAAGAGGGGGCGTTCGGCACTTCAGGGTTTGTTCAGGGCGCCCTCTTCGAAAGCTTAAGCACGCAATATGTCAACGCTATAGGGCAAGGCGGAAGGATAGTAACTTCCTGCAAAGCAAAAAGCAGAATCAAAGGGGTGTAATGGTACTGAAAGAAGGCTTAAAATCCTCTGACTCAACTCTAAGCCCTCAAGCCTTAAACCCCAAACCCTACACCCCAAACCCCTGACCTCACGGCTCAAGCCAGGTTGAAGGAGCAGGGTATCATGGGCCTCGCCGGTTTCTTGGACAACACGAAGAAGCTGACCGTTCTCTGGTCGCCTCAGCGCCTTCCTTGCAACCTTGATCCGGCGTTGGGGGGCTTAGGCTTGGGGTTTACCCGGGCCCTGAGGAACCTACCTTCATGGAAATCCTTGAATAGAGTTCCCTATCTAAGTCATCAAAAAGGTAGGTTACTTGCAACCAGAATAAGGGTTTAGGGAATGGGGCACGGGGGGGTTGAAATGGGAAGAGTTTCTGCAATGACACCGTATACATCCGTATACACTGAATCCCAATCACTATTCCGCACTTCCGGTTTGGCTCACGGGTTGGGGCTTTAGGGTTAACTAATGGTTTTGGTGAGCAGGGTCTGAGGCCTCAAGGTTACAACTTCAAGGTCTTAGGGTGTACCGGTTGCACAAGTCCTGATGCAAAGATGATGTATTGGTAAGCCAACAAGCTGATGGAAAGCAATGGATGGAAGATTTCAGTAGCGTTGAGTTTTCGGATTAGCAGCTTAATAGGGCTCTAGTAGTTTAGGTTTTAGCAGGATAGGCTTTAGTAGTTTCGGGCGGTTCGCGGGCCTTTAGAGGGTTGCGGGGTTTCCCGGCCCTCACCTGTTTAGGGTTTGGGCGAATGCGATGTGCTGCGAGGGGACTTGGCCGGGCGAGCTCCAATCAAGCCTATCCAAGCCCTGGTAAGAAAGGGTTTAGGGGTTGCGGGTTTAGAGTACTACGGCTCAAGGATATGTGACGGTGCACGCCATGTCGCACCGCGGCGCGCGTGGTCTGAAGGACAATCGGCGGCCGCGGCCGCCAGGTGTGCTTCCCACTGCCGGCCCAGCGGTGGTACCACGTGCGCAACTCTGGTTAGCACGCGCTGCGGCGGCATTGGCCCACTGCAGACACATTGGCAGACCATGTATCTGATCCGGGCAATCAAGCTCTTCATCCCAGATGATGTGCAGCAGAATCTTGCTAACTCACTGTTCAGGGTTCGTAGGCCAGCCATCCGCATAGCGGTATTGCAGGACGACGGCTGGAGATGGGTCAGTGCCTGGACTTATTTAGGCCATCCAGTACGACGGCATCATGGTGCCATTTCGTCCAAGTTGGCTTGCGCCCGTGATTATATAACAAGTTGGAGCTCCATGGAGCAATAGCTACAATTCATTGCGCAGTGCCTGCAAACTTGTTCATTATGTTGATTCTGCTCCTGCCCTTTCTCAGCTGGTCGAGTGGGCCTCGAACAGACAAGTTTGGGCAAGCAAGGCGGATGTGCACTTTCATTTTTTTACACACATTCGACGACTGCTTGCCTTACAGCTGCCTCGGCTTCATTGTTTTTCTGTTTAGAGATGTCCTTGGGGGTGGGCCTTACACACTCCTCATCCTGAAGAATGATGGCTGTACAGCGCCTTTGTGCATACTGCTGATTTTGCACAGTGGAGCTCTGCCATCATCATGCCAGTCATGCTGTGTCATGCTGGGTAATGCCTGGGTCGGTCAATCATGGCAGGTCCTTGCTTTGTGAGTTCTGCCGGCTGAACAGCTCCAGCAATTGCAGAGTCTCTGTCATCCCATGTGAGCTTAGCAGTCCAGAGGATTGTCGCTACTTGCTTCATTCTTATGTTCTGTCACTCCTATATACCGTTACATCACTAGTTAAACGAGAAGGCGCAGTATCCAAGCCCATGCTTTAAAAACAAGTTTAGGGCTCAAGAAAAGTCTTAATGGCACACACAGCCAGCAAGGCGACACAGTCGAGGAAGTAACTTACACCGGTAGTAAGCACTTAGTAATTACAGCCCGATTATCAGTATATAACCTTGGTTCATCTAGGACTCTGGACAAGTAGACCACTTTGATCACCTCATATGGCATGCCCAGCCTTGCGGACTCTAAGCCGCAAAGCCTCAAGCTTGCCCATAATCCAAGCTGATCGTCTTAGCCGCAAGTGGTCAGCCCCGTAAACCTTAAACTCCAAACTCTGTTGCTCAACTCCCCGAAACCTAAACCTTACTAAATCCTCAATCAAGGCAGGCGGAACAACCACACGCGGGGCCGCATTCTAACTCAGAGTTCGTTTTGGGGCTTCTTTCTGTGAGGAATCTAAGCGCCAAGTTATGCGAGTCGACTTTCACCGAGTGTTGGTAGTTGTGACTCGCTGTGGGCCTGGCTAATGCGCCTGTCTGCTACAGCTTGCTGCTATATTCCTAATCCTGCCCGTGCCCTCGCCTGTTTCGCCGAGAGCGTGATCCAGAAAAACAAAATTATTTTACTTCGAACATCCCCACCCTACAGATCATGCATTTGGGGGCCACACCGCTGGCTGGCGTTACGGACGTGGGGTCCCTGCACACGTAGCAAAAAACGAGTGTTCGGTTCAGGTCATTCGACGATCCATAGGGTCACACCAATGACTGGCGTTACGGTCGTGGTACACGTAACAACACACGAGTGTTCGATTCAGTTCAGTCGACGATCCATGGGGGCACACCACTGACTGGCGTTAGAGTCGTGGGTCCCCGTGCACGGAACAAAACACGAGTGTTTGAGTCAGGTCATTCGACGACCCGTGCATGGGGTCATGGGGTCACCACTGACCGGCGTTACGGACGTGGGGTCCCTGCACACGTACCAAAACAGGTCAGTCGACGATTCATGGGGGCACATTGACTGGCGTCAAGGTCCTGGGGTCCCTGGCTGGGGCACTCCAGACAGTCTCACGGTAGTTTCTGGGGTTGGGCACTCGGGGGAGTCTCACAGTAGTTTCTGGGGTTGGAATTTCAGGGAGTCTCACGGTAGTCTTTGGGGTTGGGCACTCCAGGGAGTCTCACGATGTGTTTTCTGGGGTTGGGTATTTCACGAATTCTCACACTAGTGTGTGGCGTTGGGCGCTCCAGGGAGTCACGGTAGTTTCTGGCGGTGGGCACTCCAGGCAGTCTCTGAGGTAGTCTCAGCGGGCGAGGAGCGGGCGGGAGTAATAACTGCTACGCGCAGACTTTAAAATCTAACGAGGATAGCATGCCACAACACAGCATGGCAATAGCAAATGTGATGTAGCGGTTATGTAGCGTTGCGCAACGTAAGTAAGTCACTGTAACGAAGCATAAGACCAGGTCACACAGCACAGCATGGCATAGTGTAACATGCTTTGTTACATTGCATGCTCCAAAATACCAAAGCGAAACTTACTGAAATGATATATAACATAACACAGCATGACATAGCTTGGCCAGCATATAACAAAATGTATGCTTGTTGCGCAAGTTTTCGTGCAACGGCGGCCCGTTGGTGCAGCAAGCCACCCTTTGGGGCGTAAGCCAATGCACGGTAAACACACACATACGCACCAAAGGTACTTCAGTCGGCTTTGGTGTACCTATGAGCAACTTGGATTTGCAGAGGAAGTGCAGACTCTCTTGTGTCCTGAGCATTCTACTATAGATCCTAAGCTCTTAAACCCGAAACGGAGCCGCCGGAGCCTTGAGAAACCGTGATGCCCTGAACCCAGAGGCCTTAAAACTAGAAGCATTAAGACCCTGCAGCCAGAGCTTTGCAACTTCTTGAGACACCCTACTCACATCCGGGCTACGAAGGTATGCGGGTCTGGAACTCCCTGAACCTTGGGCTCCAACCTCTAGATCGCCCTGTAAGCATGTCCGCTTCTGTCTTCAAGCCCGCGCTGGTAAAACTTGAGCAACGATACTTGTGATATTTACTCTTGTGAAAATCGTGTTCTTGTTTGCCTACTGCAGTATGAAGGTGCTGTGCATACTGTCGCCGTGCGTTCTTTTGACATGATGACTTTTCGTGTTTGTTTTGTGCGCTGCTGTCCCTTCATGTGCTAGGAAAAATACTAGAAGTCGACATCGTTACTGTCATCATGTTACCAGCAGCAGCACGAGGAGGAGGACGAGGAGGAGTAGCACTAGTCGTAGCAGTAGCATCACCAGCCCACTCTCAGCAGTAGCAGCAGCAACAGCAGGGGTACTAGTACTAATACTAATATTAGTCGTCGTCTTAGTAGTGGCAGTAGCAGCAGCAGCTGTTGCAGCAGCAGCTGTTGCAGCAACAATAGCAGTAGCAGTAGCAGTGGCAGTAGCAGTAGCAGTGACAGCAGCAGCGGCAGTGGCAGTGACAGTGGCAGTGGCAACAGCAGCAGCAGCAGTAGCAGTAGTAGCAGCTGTAGCAGTAGTAGCAGTAGGAGCAGTAGTAGTAGTAGTAGTAGTAGTAGTAGTAGTAGTACGACTAGTAGTAGTAGTAGTAGTAGTAGTAGTAGTAGTAGTAGTAGTAGTAGTAGTAGTACGACGACGACGACGACGACGACGACGACGATTACTACTACCACCACCAGCATAAGAAACAAGATCAGTAGGAGGTTCACTGTTTGCAGCTGCTGTTTGTTTCGTGTTGCGTTGATGCATCAGAGTGACACGTCCCCCCGCCCGACAACCAAGTACCGAAAACCGTCAACTTTGGAGCCCTCGAACCCAAAACCCTGAACCCACAAATATTTCAATCCTACCTTCCTACATTCCTAAAACCATAAAAAACTTTGTCTAGAACCCTCACAAAGCCTACGAAGGACCCCGGGTGAAACTGGTTAGAGCTCAAGACCCTTTCAACCTTCATCTGTCCAGGTTGGCGACATTCCTGCGAAATCCGGATCAGCACAAGCCTCTGGAGGCTTCCGCTTTGGTAGGGTTCTTATAAATGTAGTTGTACAAGGGTACTTGGTAAGGGTGTTAAGAAGGACACTACGTACAGATGTTAAGGTTTGCAGGTGCATCGTTTAGGTATGTCGTTGGGCGGATGTCGTTTGGCAGTCGTCGGCTGTAGGGGGTGTACGGTTTTGGGTCTAGCCGTCTGGGGTTTGGGGCATGCCCTTCAGCCCCAAACCCCAACCCCGAACTGAGGGCAAAATGCCCTAATTTAGGGTCTCGGTCTGGGGCCTGGGACGCAAAAGTGCTTTGCTTTAACCCAATAGTCAGAATAATGTAGGGGGCCTGAACAAGTACCAATACTAGTTTGGGGGTTCCCTATTATAACTATAGTATAATGGGGCCAAAACCCTATTCTAATTATTAAGGCCACTATATTAGTAGGTTTTGGAGTTCACTGTTAACAATGAATTCGCATGAGAGGTTACAGAGGGGTACTGACTATTCTGATCCTTGTGTTGGGGCATGGCCGGTGACGTACTACTGTTCTCTCCATATGTTTTGCATGCTGCGAAGTGCAGGAATAGGGCCTTTGTTTCCTTCCAGGGCCCTCGATGAAAGCACAGGTACAACATACTCCCTGCCAAGCCTACCAAGTAGTGGATTACAGTGTCCAGGCAGAAGCATCCAATCGAGTACATTGAGGTTTCCGGGTTTAACCCGGGCTCCGGGATGCGAGAAAAGAACCCTATATCAATTTTCAAAAACCTATATAGTACCCTTAAAGATGCCTTTCGAACAAGCCCAAATCCTGTTGTTGCGCCAAAACCTGACCCTCGAAAGCCGCAAAGTAACAACTCAAACCTCCTGCACCACCACTTGGAGGTTCATGGGTTCATGGGTAGTTACAAGCGCGAATTATGAGTAGGGTTTGTATAGTTTTATCAATCCCATATTCGGAGACTTATACCCGCGAACCTCCAAGCAAAACTCGATGCTGAAGAGGTAATGCCAGTTGGCATGTGCTACCTGCTTTTCCTCATGGCATTCTGCTGGCGGGTCCTCCTGCTACTGGGCTATCTTCTAAGAATAGCATGAGATTCTCGGCTGTATTTCGTGATGGGATCTTTTTCAGGTCCGCCTTTCTTTCGTTGAAGTCCGGAGTAGCCTGCAAGATTCTTTGTCGATGCGGTAGACGAGGGCCCTCGTTATTTCTGAGATCGGAAATCAACTTGCAATCTGCGTGCTCGGTAGTGCATCCGGGGGATGGGATTGGCCATACTCACGCAGGGACGAGGAAGACAAGGTGCGGAAGGCGCATCGCTGAAAAGCAGTGGTGTCACTGAATGGCAACAGCGCCCTGCACTTTCCATCCAGAAGCTTCTCTCCTCAACTCACGATTTCTCTCCCTACACCCAAAACCAAAACCCAAAACCCAAAACCCTGGATTGTCCGAGTGTGAGAGCCGAAACCCTGAACCCCAAGCCGAGACTCTTCGCCAGTCCAGAAACGCACCCAGCAAGAAGTTGTAGCCATAGCAGCACTCCAGACACTAGGCCATGTTCCCTAAATTCAAGCAGCATCCTTGACGCGGTTCACGGTTTAGGCTTTAGAATGATATATGGGTGGTTGTCAAAATTATGGTACCTTTTTGGGTCCTTATTATAATACGGCACCTACTATTTAGGGTACCCCAAAAGGGACCATATTTTTGACAACCACCCATCTAACTTGATGAAGGGGGAATGATTCAGCGATCTTCGGGAATCCGGGGTGCTTTCTGAACTTAGGGGGAGCTCATGCCCCCCTAAACCCACAACACATCTAGCGGTCCTTATCACGCGCAGGGTTTATAGTAGTCAGACTCCCTCAGTTTTCTGGACCCCCCCATATTCTGATATCCCTAAACCCTGGAATCCAAAATCCCGAACATCCTTGTGCCCTGAAAACCCTCGAGCCGATATCCCGTGGCCTTTGACCGAAACCCTATACATCCCTAAGAAGCACCGTAACCCTTCAAATCCACAGCCCTTAACCCTAGAGGATTGTAACGCTCTCTCTCTCTCTCTCATTCTCTCCCGTATCCCAAACATGAGATTACCTATTACTTCTTTAAGCCCTATAGGCCTTTAAGGCCCAGAAAGAGATGCTCTTACTACACTGTACCCTGACACCACAAACTGAAAGTGAGGCGCCTTCTACCTTCTGAAACCCTGCAGTCCTATGACCCTAAATCACCCTGAACCGTAAAACTTGTATGGGCCCTAAACCCTAAACCCTAAACCCTAAACCCTAAACCCTTAAGATCCATGTCCGAAGACTCAGGTTCGCCCACTATCTCGTTAGGCCTAAATCTCGCAACCCCCGGCAGCTACTATGACCCTTTGACCTTACAATCTAAAACTCCAGTCTATAACCCTGCATCCCACAGCCGATAATGCCGACAAATCCGCCCGAAACCCTAAACCCTTAAACACCGACACCCCTAAACCCCTAAACCCCTAAAACCTAAACCCCTAAACCCCTAAACCCCTAAACCCCTAAACCCCTAAACCCCTAAACCCCTAAAACCTAAACCCCGAAACCCCTAAACCACTAAACCCTTAAACCCCTAAAGCCCTAAACCCTTAAACCCTAACCCCGAAACCACTAAACCCCTAAAGCCCTACGCCCTTAAACCCTAAACCCTAAACCCCAAAATGAGGTTCGCCTACTACTTCTTGATCCTAAGCCCGAAACCCTAAACCCTAAACCCTAAGCCCCTAAACCCTAAACCCCTAAACCCTAAACCCTAAACCCTAAACCCTAAACCCAAAATGAGGTTCGCCTACTACTTCTTGATCGCGAGCCCTGGGATCCTTGGCCCCCAGGCTGCGACCTCCCTGCGCCAAATCTTCCCGGTGCCCTGGGCCTCGGGGGTTGAGGGTTTAGGGTTTAGGGTTTAGGGCTTCGGGTTTAGGGTTTAGAGTTGAGGGTTCAGGGGGTTTCGGGGTTTAGGGGTTTAGGGGTTTAGAGTTGAGGGTTTAGGGGTTTCGGGGTTTAGAGTTGAGGGTTTAGGGGGTTTCGGGGTTTAGGGGTTTAAGGTTTAGGGGTTGAGGGCTTTGGGTTTAGGGCTTAGGGTTTAGGGGTTTAGGGTTTAGGGGTTTAGGGGTTAGGGTTTAGGCTTTAGGGGGTGCCTGGGCAGAGTCCGTTGTCCTGTGCTCAGTGGGGTGCTGGCATTCAGCATCAAGTCCAGATGTTAAAAAAAGGGGTCTTTAGGGTTTAGGGGGTTTGTCTGTAGCTTTTGAGCACCCTTTTGGGGCTCTCTACTATGGTTTTGTTATGTAATCCATTGAAAACGTAGATTTTTTGGGGCTACAAGCTACAACTGGGGTCTGCGGGTCAAGTTTTCGGTTCCAAGGACAGGGCCTCAACAGGTGGGATGAAGGTAGGCTTGCGCATCCTGCCAGGAACTCTTGGTTAGGTTTCCCCCCCCCCCCCGCACCCGCCTTCATTGACCTTCGGTGCTCCTGGAGTCGTGTGAGAACTTTCACCATTTTGCGAGCATGATGCATGTAGAAAGTAATAAACGATGTAGAACACCGCGATAGGCGCAGGGAGCAAGTCTAGCTCACCTAGATTACCGTGCTAGGGTCGGGCACCTCGAGAAGAAGCCACATGCTTTTGGGATCCCGGCAACTTCAACCATGCTCCTTTGCATGAGCCGAGGTGCTCGTGATCGTGATCCTGCCCATGCACTTCTACAAGGCTCCTCCGAGGTTCAGGGCTTTCTGAGACTGCAGGTCAGACGATCTCTTTATGGAGGGCCGCCATGCTCAGTAGCCTTGCCGTAGGTTTGAGGGAGGTTCCTTTCTCACTTGGCCTACTTGGGAGTATTTTGGGTAGGGTGGATCCTCCACACGGGACCTGGCATGCAAAACAGGGCTTTTGGAGGATTAGTGCCTTGAAGCTTGAATTTCCCTGAGCCTCCAGCCCAGAAGCCTCAATCTCAAGCCCCTGGACAGGCGCAATGAATATAGAACATACAAGCCAAAATAATTACCAATATTATTCCTTAGGGTTCATTGTTATAACTATACTATAAAGCAGCCAAAAATCCTATTTTATTTATTAAGGCCCCTCCATCGTTTTTAACATTGAAATTCGCGAGACCCTAACCCCAGACCCAGTTTAGAAATCTGGCTCTGAAGTGAATAGCCGCAACCACCGACATTCTTCTGGCGGCGAGCGCCTGCGTGTGTAGGTTTAGTGCATGCAAAGCCATTGAAATGGGAGTTTCCGAAAATAAGGGGTACCTTATTTCGGGGTCTTTATAGTAAGGATCCTACTATCTAGGGTACTATACTAGGTCCCCTATTTTCGGAAGCACCCAAATCCATTTTCGACTAGGTCCGAGCCCAAACCCCGAGACCCTCAGGTGCCAAGCCATTCAAGCAGCATCGAAGCCCTAAACCCTAAACCCTAAACCCTGAACCCTAAACCCTAAACCCTAAACCCTAAGCCCTAAACCCTAAACCCTAAACCCAAGGACGGCAAACCCCAAACCCAAGGCCTGAAACCGT